TACCAAAGGCTGATGTTCCTTATTGATCTACTACCAAAGGCTGATGTTCCTTATTGATCTACTACCAAAGGCTGATGTTCCTTATTGATCTACTACTAAAGCCTCATGTTCCTTATTGATCTACTACCAAAGACTGATGTTTTCTCTTGTCTACCATTGCTGAATTAAGAATGGCTAGCATAGGTAGTCCTTGAGTAGCTTTGCGTGAAATTCAAAATAAATCAAACCAGTTGACTTATTGCAATGATTATTGTTAATCCTGTGTCATCAACATTCTTTTAAATTTGACCATATGCATACTTAATACTGCATAAATACTTTGTGGGCTCCTCTGTGATATTCATTTAAATATATAAATGTATTTTTATAAGATTTTGGATGCTAGATTTGTGCATGGTGTAATTCAATTTCTGTCTTAGTCAAGAATATAAGAAATTATAACTTATCTTTCTTGTGTTAAGAAAATTATATTGATTTTTATTCTTGTCACACACTTCTTAGGTTTCAGCAGCTACTGCTCTTGTAAAGACAGATGGAATGAAAGTGGATGACCAAACTATCTCAGTAGCTATAAGCAATCCACCAGAACGTAAGTCACTTAGAAGAGCTGGTGATGGTGAAGGCTCAGAAAATAGAATTATTGCATCATTAGGAGGAGGTAGAGAAACAGGACCGTAAGTATCACATTCCAGTATCTCGTTTATTTATTATATATATAAAAGATACACGTGTTAGTCAGAGGTGTGTCCATCTAGTAACAGGGTAAAATAATGTTTGTTTAAACTCCTGAATTAGTACTTTAGGGACAAGAAATTAACAGACATAAGGTTAGAAATATTGTTTTATTTTATAATGAAAACTAAAAATGTTTGGTTAACAACTTTTTCTCTAATCTTTTTTTAATTATTTACAACAATTAAACATTTCTCCTTAATCTATTAGGAGAGGGCGAGGTAGAACCCAGGTAAGTCTTCTTCCTCGGGCTCTCCAGCGAACACAACCAGGAACAAGCAGATCAAATGACTTTCAGAATGGAGTTAATGGAGCAGGAGAGGATGTAAACACAACAGAAAAGCAAATGACAAACAATGATTTCCGTAACATGTTGTTAAAAAAGTAATATTTTATATCATTCTACAATTTCACGAAATCGTTTGAGCCACATTTGCGCATTTTCTTCCCTTTCATTTTTATACATATCACCAGTATATGGTGGACTTGATTTACTTCAGTTCTTGCGTCAGCTAGGAGTCCATGGAAAATTAATAACACATAGCGTGTATATGTTCTGACCTCTTCTTTTAAGACACTAAAATTGTAAAATATGTCAAAAAATTATAATCACCTAATAGAAGACATCTTTGTAGAGATCTTCTAATTGAATAAAAATATAATTCCCTTGAATTGTTTGTTATATTGTCTTAATTTGTTTGTGTAATATCAAAACATTGGTTACAACTAGAAATATGCTGATCTTATAACTTTTATACAGATTATTCTCTCAGGGACTCTGTCAGTACTAAGTAACGATTGTAATTTAAAATATTGGTATACAGAAATATATTTGCTCAGGTATGAGGATCCTATTTTTAGAAATGTGGAATTTGGAGTTTTTCCTTTGCAAAATGTACGTAAATTTTGAGTGATACTGAAAATTGAACAAAATATCAAGTTTAAATAGCCCAGTTGATACTAACTGTTCAAAGCAAGATGTCTTAATTTCATATTGACAGTTTCATTTGGCAGACCCGAATCAGTTTCTCTTCTTCAAAGGTTTGTAATCATGATTAAAAAAAGGAATGAGTGCACATAGTAATTGGTTACTTCCATGTGTTATTTCTGATACATTCAAGCACCTTAATTGAATAAGAAAAGAAAAGTATCAAAGTAAACTGAAGAAGTGAAACTACTTACTGTTGTGTGCATTTATATATTTTTTTCTTAAAAAACTAAGCTTTATATATATTTAGGTAAACTTGCTTACTTCTCTTTATCCTTAGACACAACTGTTTTAACTCCTGTTGCAGTTTACATTCCTGTTCTGAATAAAATAAATGTTACATTTAAAGCAAGTTTTAACACCAGACACTTCTCGCTTGCCCTTGCTTAAATTATGAAGTATGCTTTTGAACTAACATGAATGACATAAAAGATGTTGTTATTAATTTTCTTCTATGTAACTTATGATGAATAAGGTTGTAATAACTGAAAATGTTTGAATAACTATCACTCATTTAAACGTGTTTGCAGTGCTGTAATATCTTACTCAGATCAGCAGTGTGTGTTTTGCATACAGATATAAATGGTACATCGGTTTTCTGATTCATCATTTCATATTACCTGCTAAAATTATTAGTAACTGAACGTGAATGAAGCACACTGCAACATGAATGCATACTTACCTCGCTATGCAATACTGGAGAATAACATGCACTTTATCAGTATACATGATAGCATACTTACCTCGCTGCGCAATACTGGAGAATAACATGCACTTTATCAATATACATGAAAGCATACTTACCTCACTGTGCAATACTGGAGAATAACATGCACTTTATCAATATACATGATAGCATACTTACCTCACTGTGCAATACTGGAGAATAACATGCACTTTATCAATATACATGATAGCATACTTACCTCACTGTGCAATACTGGAGAATAACATGCACTTTATCAATATACATGATAGCATACTTACCTCACTGTGCAATACTGGAGAATAACATGCACTTTATCAATATAGATATTATGTAATATATTTGCTCATAAACATTTTATCACCCTGTCCTTAATTCTATTTACAGATCATACTTTGAATAGCATATAGCAAAATGTTGCATACTGCTGTATTTGTTCAGTAGGAATACTTTTCTCATATAATTTATAGTGTATAGACATGGTATGATTTCACAGTAAACTTGCAAACAATGATTTACAAATATGATGTGGTTTTATATTGGAGAACATACATGTTTTGACAGAAAAAGGTCTGTCTCCTTCATGTATGATCTACTGCTAAGCAAACAGGATTTATGTACAAAATCTCAAAGTACAAAGACAAAAGATGCGAAGGTTTAATTTTAAGGAACATTGACACTTAGTGACAAGATTATAGCTAAAGTCAAGGTTGATCAAGTGTGTGAACAAAAGCTAGGTGAATCAATTAAGCCATATTTGGCTGATGTTGCTAAGGCTAATGTTATGGTTTAGTGAAAGATTGCCTGCTTTGATAATTAGTGTCGTTTCTAAACAGTCTCTTTCTTTTTTAGTTTTGGGTTAGTGTAAGATAAAGATTTCATCCCAAAGTATTTTGTGACCTCTTTCTAATTGATGATATGTTAAAGCAGATATTTGAAGCTTACCTCCACGCATGTGACCTTGGTAATTTTTGCATTTTATTTTCAAAGGATTTGATGTTTGTCTCGTATATATTTCTTATCACATTCAAGTGATATACTATATATGCCTTGCTCTTGTTCCTTCAGTAGAGGTTGTTTCAAGTTAGGTAGTAAGATGTTTATCTTGGGTAAAGGTTTGAATACACATTTTACATTGATGTTTAAGTTATTAAATACACTGGTAATTTCATTTAATGTTTTTGTTGTACAGGGTGTCCCAGAAATCTGCACTCGTAGGTAAAATAGACATTGTATTCTTACAGTTTGACAACAAATTTCTAAAGTCAGTTGTACATATTTCAGGAAGGAAAATACCCTGATGGCACAGTATACCAAGAATTGATATGTGTATGGCCGTCAATGGCATGCATTTTGAATAGTAAATAAATTAAAAACAAATTGTGTATTTTTTCCAATTGTCCAGACTTCTGGGACACCCTGTAGATAGGGGAAAGACTGGAGTTAGCATAAAATGTCTATGGTTTTGAAATTTAGTAAAAGCCCCATCTGTGATGTTGGGATTAAAATAAGATGCTAAGGATGCCAAGGTCACATGTTCGGAGATGAGTTTCAGCAGAATTAAATGCAGCTTCACCTTTGGAACTGCTTAGGGTATTGTTTACAACATGATTGAATAAATAGAGTTGTTTAAACATTTGTTTAACAACAAGTAAAAGCTTGGAATGGTCTACCCTTTCATTGGGGTGTGAGCCAGACTAGTTTACACTTTATCTTCACCAGAGGGTCAGGTTTTATAGGGTCGAATTCTTTACAGTGGGTGTCTGTTTAGTCATGGAAGTAGCATCTGATGGGTTGTTGCTATTCTGTTTCTTCTGGCAGCAGCACCCATGGTGATAGTCACCCTTTTCTTGTTTCTTACCAGCACCTCCTTTGTAGGTAGTTCCAACTGCTCTTTGTCGAAATTTCTGCTGTTGCTTGTTGGTGACAGACTTGCACTCATTCACACTTTTATAACAAATATAGCACCTCTCTTCCCTTTTGTCCACTGAGTTCTTGTCACCTTTGGTGGTATCCTGTTTCTGGTCAGCCATCCCTAGTTTCAACTTTAACTTGTTATTCTTGGACTTGCCTGTTATACTCCCTCTTTGGGCTTCCATATACTGTTTTACCAGCATGATCATCTCATCCATGTTTTTTGGTGCTCTCTCCTTTAGGAACAGTGACATGTCAGTGAAGCATATAATCATGAAGTGTTCACGTATTAGTAGATACGCCAGACCCTCAACTCTGTTTTCAAATTTGGTCATGTCAGTCCATCTTTTATAGTATCTCCGTATATGTGCCACAAACTGAAATACACTTTCTCCAGTGTTAGGTTTGCCTTCTCTGAACTTCTGATGAAAACCTTCTTTGGTAAATTCATGGCATTTCAACAAGGCTGCTTTTAACTTGTCATGGTCCATGCCTGCATACACTTGTAGGCCTTTTTCTGTGAGAAGTGGGCTGAGACAAACCACCCAGTCACCTTTGTCCCAGTTCTGACTTTGGGTGAATCTTTCATATGTCTCCGGGAAAGAGCATCCATGTTATCTTTCTGTTCATTAAATTTGTGCAGCTTGGGTTGGCTGACCCTGACACCATTGTCATTCTTAGGTCCTTCGTCTTTCTGTTGGGTGAACTTTGCAATCTCAATTTGTGCTCCTATTCTCTTTATTTCCAGCCTCTCCTCTCCTTTTTATCATTTAAGTCCTCCTTCCTCTATTCTCTCTCTCTAGGTCTTGTTGTTGCTTAACAAACTCTCATAGATCACCATCTCTTAGTCCAAATCACCCACCTCTTTATCCATTTTTGCCACCACTACAGTTGTGTATATATAGACCTTTTTCCACTGTTGTTCACATCTTTTGTTTTTACTATTGTTTACCACTTTTTAATCCTGGCTGGCTTGCCAATGTCAGGTTTTATCAGGAAAAATTCTTTACAGTAGGTGTCTGTGACTTGTTGGCAATAAATGTCAACAATAAATGGACAGTACACAATCCACTTGTTTTAAATTGATGTATTCAAAACAAGTTAAACGCATATACAAAACAACTCTTTTCACTATAGATTATCACATTTCTATCCACAGCTTTAAATAATTCTCTTTTTTTTTTGTCAAAAGTCCATACAGACAGGTTCAGTTACTTTAGAACATTCTTTGATGAGACAAATTATTCTCCTCTACTCTGTTATTAAAATACATTCAGTATTAAATTCATTTATGTTACCCTGTGGGATACCACAATTGTATTCAGAGCTTTAGATAATTCTCTTTTACTTCAAAAGTCCACCCAGGCTGCTTGAGTTACTTAAGAACCCAACTTACATGACGAATTATTTTTCTCTACTCTGTTATTACATTACAATCTGTGATTATAACACTTTTAAAGTTTTCACTATACACTCTTTATGGCTAAACTTACAAACACAGTCTAGATCTAAATATCTTAGTAAAATTATCCTACTTTCACTAACTTACTTACTTTCTGTATCTACACGTATTTATAACAAGTGACGAAAATTCTAGAAATATCTAGCGCTCTAGTAACAATGTTACACATAATGAGAAAACTTCGAGTAAGGTGATGTCAACAACATTACAAAAGCCTATACAAAAATTAAACTACATACAAAAAACATACGATTTGTACAGAGTTGTGTAACAAAACTTGCCATAACTATCAGTTTTAAAATAGTTAACTTTTAACAA